CAAAAATTCATTCAGTCAGTCTCTGGCATTGCAGTACTGCACCTTCATTTGTCTGTCTGAACTACACTGGCAGCATTTCTCTGACAGCAAAGTGCTTTGCACAGTCAGATGAGTCATGGATTCATTCTTCACACACTCACTTTTGTTACCCGTCGCATGTTCAGCCAAGGGTGACATCAGTAATTTCTTTAACAAGGGCTGTTCCAAAAATAGGTGCTGGCATTTGCATTGAATAAAGAGAGCAAAGAGTAATGCTGCCATCCATCAGGTTAGCACTGCAGTCTGTGCAGTTTAATAGAGGGTTTGTATCCCTAACAGAGGGAAATGCCAAGTGATAGTGAAAAAGTTTAAATATGCTATCGCATTGTTGATTACATTTTTGGAAAAGATAATTGTATCGAAGTTGATGTTATTTCTACGCCAAGGCCTCAGAACAGTCCTTAATGTTTTTCCCTTTAAAGCATGCTGGGACCTTAAATCATTCACTTTCTAAAAGGATGACGAACGATAAAAGGCAACGTAAGATTTAGTGCAAAAACATCCACCACTTGATTTTACAAAGATTTTACTTGAGTGGTGATTTTTTTACACCTTTAAATGACAAAAACCTCTAAGCGTTTACATTTGTTTCTATTTCTTTAAAGAAAACTGTGCATCATGTCTTACCTTTATTTGTAGCTCTCTAACCTTCAATGGTCTATCAAAAGCCTGTAATACACAAATGTGGAGAATGTGTATTTTTTTTAAAAATTGTATTTTATTTTATTTTATTTTATTTTATTTATTTGCTTTTCTTGCTTTTTATATGTGCTGTGAAATAGTATGGCCTTTTCCTTGGCCGTGTCTCTCTAGTGCAAAAAATTGTAAACACTACCCGATCACACCTACTTAATGCCAACAGAGGGCGCTCAAATCATGTAAACTAAAACTTCTGCTGTGATTAAGGACTGGTTACCGATCATGCCAGAGGTGCAATGAGAGGTATCTATCTTAACTGATCGGATTGGGCTAAATGAAACACAGTTTCCTAAAACAGTTATTCATAAATACAGTAATATAAAAACAAAGTACAGCTTCTTTCAAGTCTAAGGTTTTATACATAAGGGGAGAGGGGGAGGATTTTCCTTCCCTCATCAAGTTCTAAAAATTTTTAAATATAACTTCAGATGAACAATAAAAGGGCATATTACACATATTAGACTGTGTTTTTATTTTTTCCTACAAAATTGGGCATTTTGCTGGTCTGGAGCATTCAAGTGCGTGTGTGTGTGTGTGTGTGTGTGTGTGTGTGTGTGTGTGCGTGCGTGCGTGCGTGCGTGCGTGCGTGCGTGCGTGTGCGTGTGTGTTAACAACTGTTAGCAACTGTTACTGCCCATCAATCTGGGAAAAGTTATAAAGTCACTTCCAAACAATCTGAAGTTCATCATTCTGTAGTGAAAAAGACAATTCACATGTGGAAAACATTCAAAACAGTTGCCAGTCTTCCCAGGAGTGGATTTCCCAGCAAATTCACGTCACGGTCAGACTGTGCAATGCTCAGAGAAACTGCACAAAGTTTCTACTGAACAAGCATGGCTTGTCTGGAAGGGTTACCAGGAGAAAGCCTCTTTTCCTAGATGACAGCTAAAACTTAGCTGAAATGCAGCAGGACAGTGATATCAAGCGAAGCAGCAAATCTGTGCCAGAATGGCTAAAGAACAAAAAAATGAAGGCGCTGCAGTGGTCCAGTCAAAGCACAGACCTCAACTCGATTAAGATGCTGTGGTGGGAAAACTTAGAGCCGTGCATAAACGAATGCCCTTAATGAACTGAGGCAATGTTGTGAAGAAGAGTGGGCCAAAATTCCTCCATAATGATGTGAGAGACTGATAAAATCACACAAAAAACTTCACATTATTACTGTTAAAGGTGGTTCTCCAAGATAACAGAAAGGATACTGCTCTATAAATAATGATTTGGTGAAATATATCCTATTTATTGATAAGTGTGTTTATTTTATTTAGGGACCAAATGACTTTTTATTTTCTTATGGATTTTAAAGCCTTAGGGCCTTTAATTCACCTGTCTAATAGTTATCCCTTCCTTTACTACATCAAAGTGGTGCACTGTTTGGAAAACATGTTGCTTAACACAACGCATAATAGGTAATGAAAAACACACAGACTTAATTCATTTTTTCTCATTTTTTTTAATTCATTGAAGTCCTCGCTGTTACTTTCTTTTCTTTTTCTTTCTTTTTTCCTTTTTTTTTTTTTACATCACCATCCGTGGGATTTGACATAGTGAGCAAGCATCCCAGAAACCCCACAGCCACCAAGACAAATACCATCACAGAGTTTCACTTTCACAAAGGTTAAAGGCTTACAGAGGGCAACGGAGGGGCTGCAGGTGGCAAAGGAGATGTTTGACAGCATCAACAACCTCAGAATGGAAAGAAGCTCCTCTCAATGTGCAGCATGTTGCTTACATACATATCACTCGTATATCATTAGCAATAATATGGCATAGAAAAAGCATCCAAGCTGACAGAGCATTAAAGGAGTATAAGTGTGTGTATGCGTGTAAACTGAGGAGGCATGGGACACGAAGAGGATGCCAAGAATGACAGCTAGTATTTAATATCCGAGTGATTTTTTTCAGGCACAGGCGCTGCAATGCAGCAACGGCTCCTTGCTCTTTAGTGTGCTAAGAGTCTGTGTGTGTCTGTGTGTGTGTATGTGTGTGTGTGTTTCCTCAATAGTCTGCAGTGCACTGTGAACTATGGTAGCATTCTGAATTCCACATAACCCAGCACAGGATTATGTAGTAATGTTTCAGCACTCTAAGTGAATAATGAAAAGAATGTGTGTGTGTGTGTGTGTGTGTGTGTGTGTGTGTGTGTGTGTGTGTGTGTGTGTGTGTGTGTGTGTCCGCAAAAACCTGTACTAATAGCTCCAGGTCAGGACGGGTTGCTGATGGCAACCTCAAATTTGACAAAGCGTTGCCATGACAAACAAAAAAAGCAAGAACCCCATGAGAGTGGAGGGGTCTGTCTCTACGGCAACAGCCAGAAACAACCAAAGAGCCAAGAAGGGAGGAAGAGAAAGAAGGAAAAGGGAGAGCGAAAGGAGCAGATGCAGCCAGACTGTGCTGGTGTTGTGGGCCTCACCCTCACCTACACTTTTAACCAACGTTGAAAGAGCGGTAACTGGATTTACTACAAGCTGCAGCAGAATGCTAACATGGATGTTGAAGAAGTTTTTGAAAAGTATCAAAAGAATTAAGAAACTGTGAAACAGTAAAATTCTCCACTTCTGACTTGCAGAGGTTTAAGTTGCCTTGAAGACATTCCTATCTCGTCACATATTTGAATGCTTCAGAGACGTGCATTTATTACATTCCCGTCTGCCTTGGATTCTTTAAATACATAAAGCATTTGTAATGCTGAAAGAGTCTGCCTTCTACAGACTTCCTGTTTTTTCAGAGGGGAGAAAACCTGGAACACTAAGGCTGAAAGTGTAACTTTTAATATCTACATTATGCACAAAACCACTCAGAAATTTGGGGTTACTTGGGAATGTCCTTTTTGCGCATTTGTTCTAATGAGAAGCCATTAATCACTGATTTTTCATGTAGCATCCATCTAGGCATACATTCAGCAGACTGTGCTTGAGTGACACAGTGCTACCTCCTGCAATGTGGTGACTAAAGAAGCCATAAATTTGGCTAGACAAGCAGGTAGGGCAGTTGTGTTAGTTTACACTCTCAAAATGCCCCACAAAGAGTTTTCATGCAACAGTGTGTACTAGTCTTTTCAAAAACCAGCACAATGAAGCTCTGAGGGCTACTATTTAACAAAGCTGCCATATGTAGTTCTATTAGATGCCTATTTCTCAAACAAGAGACTATGTCCTCTCACTCAATCGAGCATCCAGGTCCACCACTTTTCAGAGCCAGTTTTGCACCAGTGTGTGAAGGGAGCAGTACACACCGTTACATGAAAACATCCTTTTTTTTTAACAGTGTGCCCACTGACCACGGGAGACATGGTTGCTGAAATTGAGCTTCTCCATGCTGTCTTAGGATATCTCATTTCAATAGCAGGGATCACACCTCAAATATGATTAGGTTTACTGAAAGAAGTGCGTTTGGAGAGAGCAAGGACCTGGACCTGTGACTGCAGTTTAGGAAAGGCCACAGTGTGGATCGGTAACGGCTCCCTGGCATGGTAGTGGATGCACAGCGCTCAGAAATATAGAACCGGAAGGGTGGTGCGTTTGAGGTGTAGTCCTATCCCTGAAATTCAAATAAATTATCTCCACTAAAAAAAATATATATATCAGTGGTTTATAATGAAAGACAAGGTTATTTGACCCAATTTTCACCAGTATAATATTACATTGATGACTATTTTGTACTGTATTTCAAAGTGATCCCTAACCCTTTTAGTGGTAGGGAATATGTATGTGTTTCACCTTTGGTTTCCCCTAAGTTGCTGTCACTATGTTAACTAGACAGGCGCATTTAAAGAATCTAAGCCCAGTTTATATAAGTGCCCCTGGTTATGTTCATGTCAAGTTTATTCAGCGTTTAGTCACAGGCAGAAAGATGGTTACTGGTGAAAATCAGTTGCTTCACTTAATAAAACCAGACTGTGCTGTTAAAAAAAAGAAAAGAAAAAGGAGAAGAACAATGCATACAGCTGCAGTACAGCCTGAAGCAATGTTAACTCCACAGCCATACTGAGAGCTGTACAGGAGCCTGCTGTGCGTGTCCCATTCCTCACACATCAACACTGCACACTAGTCAGAAGTACATTAGCTCATGTCTACTTTCAAGCATAAATCAATAGTGCTCAGCCCTTAGGCACCTAGTTACAGAATGACACTAAAAAGCAGTTTGACAACAAGTTCAAAACTATAAAACAACAGAACATTTCAACATATCAAGCACTGTTCATCTTTACAGGGCTCTATCTTCAGAATAGGCCCAATGAAAGCGCAAAATCTGGCACCTTTGAATCGGTTAATCCTGGCTATTTTACATCTTTTTATCTTACATCCTTCACTTACCTCAAAAACAATAACAAAACAAGAAGCTAAAATCTGACTATCAATACAACTTCTGTGGGTTCAGGCACATAAAGAGTAGAAAGAAAATGAGGTGTTTGTGGAGGGGAGGGGGGAGTATAAAACAGTCACATTTGGAAGGAGAGACATTCTGTATGTAAATGCACTGCTTGGTGACGGACGGTTGTCAGATGTTTCTACTGCTGTCAATGAAGAATTTGGACCTTTGTGATTCCTGGGAATGTAAACAAATGGGAAAACATGTAGCTGCGTTGTGAACGGCACCTTCCCCACACTCCTAAAAGTTCTCTAAAAGGACGGCGCTAAAGAGAAAGTAAGGCAAGGAAAGGCCGAGTCGGAAGTAACATTAAGTACAACTTTCTCTTTCCCCCTGTAAATCAATCCCACTTAACAATGACCTTACACACAGAGATGAAGAATAAAGCTCTATTTACTACGTGCCAAAAGCTCCTTCTGCTCCACAGGACTCTCCAGCTGACTCCCAACAGACTGTACCCATAGTACAGCATTACCATGTTCAATTTTTCAAATGTTAAGGCCGTCTTCGTGGCGAATAGTCAATTAAATATCAATTGTGGCACTGTATGAGAGACAGCAATGGACTGGAAAATGAAGCGACTGAAATGTGATATAATACAAATCACAGACTTCTAACAGCTGGAAGGAAGTATTAGATTCTTTTTGGCTGAATGAAATGCAAAATTGGTCAATTTCAAGCAACTTACTGTTTGGCCTATTCGAGAAAGAATAAAAGAAAATCAGTGTGTTTTTATATCCATGCTTCATTCTAACTCCTCACAAAATGCAAAAAAAAACATGGAAAAAGAACAGACATCCTGCTCCAACATCATCGTCTGCATAACATCACGTTAGTCTTACTCAACCCCTCAATGAAAACAACAGCAAAGCAAATATCACAGGGATACATGGGAGGGAGAAATTACAGTATAAAAATGAAATGATGCAGTCAAAAGTGCTCAAATAAGGAGTGTTATCAATTTTTTTGTCAATTTTTTCATCATATGAGGCAGACCTTCTTTTTTGTTTGTGTGTTTTTTCCTAACTCTGTCCTCTAGGAACAGGTTTTTGGGGGAGAAGTGGGGAAAAAAGCAGCAAAGGAGGACATGAAGGCTGGAGGCTAACAGGTGGCCTGATGAGGTGTTGTGAAGAGTTTGAATCTTGGTGTAATGCTGTAGCTTCTTCACTCCCCACCACTTCAGCTCCTGCTGGCCATACATCCACAAATCCTCATTTCCTCCTCAGCGCCTGAGGATGGGGCTCTAACCCAGGCTGGTGATGTTTGCCCTGCCGCCTGGGGGCGCCACGATGCGCTGGGTATTCCGGCGAGGAACGTTGTCATCAATCTGAGCTCCTGTGTGATTGAATGGAAAGGATTAGTTTTATGAATTTTGGTCTTTGTAATACTAGAAAGTGGCAGGAAAAATTCCTTTGGGAAGTCAACCACAGGAGGAAACATAAATTCCCCTTCACATTGTCCACAGTGATTTTAATTACAAGCCATAGCCATCCATAGTAAACATACTACGAGCTACGACACTGTGAAACAATGGTCTGTGCTCCTGTCTGCATGATATCAACCTTGTTTTAACACTAACACATTTTATTTGTGACACTGCAGAAAAACTACTCTACCCACAATCCAAAACAGCAATGTCTCCAATTGGAGACATTGTTGGAGGTTGCTGCTGGAGGTCGCTGTTACCATGTAAATGTGAGCGCAAAACATCAATTGGTGATTGCAGTCCAGAATGAAGCACCGTAATGTATTGATAACAAGGCCACACTTTGCCACACACATGGAAACGAAAAACGATTCAATTTGAGAAGGCTGGAAGCCATTTGTTATGGAAGCTGAAATTTGCAATGCATCGTGGGATGAGTAGTTCCTCAACACTGAAACGTAAAATATGCAGCTTTGCCTTTTCTTTCCCCCATTTTCCTTTATTTTTTTCATCAAAATCAAATCTTATTTTTACAGTTACTATTTACCTCATAGCTGGCTGAAAAACTTCAGCCAGCATAATCAAATGTACTTTTTCAATATTTTGTCCTTTAAAAAGTGGGCGATGTTGAGGTCTGAGTGTAATTAATACACAAAATTAAGATGCAAAATCTTAACAAACTAAAAGACAAACAAAACATAACACAACACACTTCAAGTGGACGTGTTATATACTGATTATAGTATATGGTGGCTGCTCATTTTTAATGCGGCCAAACTTTTAATTCATGAGGTCAGTGACTGCTCAGGTACCAGACCCTTTTTCCACTCTTGGGTATTTATGGTGTCAGTGGAGCCAGATACCACATGTCCCTCAGCCAATAAGAGAAGTGAAATGGCCTTCAAGGGAGAGTAGCTAAAACAGCTCGGCTCAGACAGTGGATAGATTGAGATACTGTAGCAAGGTTTTTTAAGCTGTCAATCATGCACAGAAATAAATATAAAGCTACAGCAATAACAAAATAAATGGATAATGAATATTCACACAAATTTACCAAGTATTATTATTATTATTAGCTCTGAAAGACAAATGTAAAGATTTTTCTGGTGCATAGTATCCAACTTTTATTTTATTTTTGATAGGTAGCCACGGTCCAACAGAAGGACCCAATTTCAGTGTAAAGTCTGCCCCTTACACTTGAATGAATGCATGGCTTATTTGAGAGCAATATGGGGCTATGCATGCAGTGTTTAACTCAGTATGTCATGAAAGAATCCCTTAGTTTAGGCTTTTCATGCAGATTAAATTTAGTGCAAAATTTGACTCATCAATGTTGAGTCTCTGATATACAAAAAGAAGGTAAATGGTTTTAAATCTCTCCCCAAAATGGATTCAGTGCTTCAACATCCCAAAAATGACTCCAGAACTGATGGTAACACAACTGACCGGATAGGCTGAAGCCAGACTGGTGCAGGTTGCGGACGGGTTGGCCAGGCTGTTTGGCAGGTGAAGTCTTGGCAGAGGAGGCTGGAGTCATGGTTTTAGGAGTGACTGACACCTCACAGACTGGACCATCATACAGTCCCCTGGGTACGCCTCTCAGCTCAGCCAGCTGCATTGTTGGAAATGAGACACAGGCCAGTCACAGCACTGGAAACTAGCAAGGAAAGATTCACACTGTGGAGCTGGATGTGTGGACAGTTTGGCCAATTCCTAACAAGATGTAACATCCCTCCAATTTTCCACAAATTACCAATCGTAAAAGAAATTGCTGGGTGTGGGAAGCAACTTTAATGTCAAAATGACTTCCAGTATGTTACCATCTGATTAAACGGTTAAACACAAACCCTAGCAGACAAAGAGGAGTGTTGTACCCTGCTGCGAGCTTTTATCCTCTTGTAGACGTAGTCAGGGAAAGGTTTACGGACCACGTAACGTCCTGAGCCCTCTGTGACGTGGAGGTTCCCGTCCTCCAAAACAATCTTGCCCTGGCTGATCACGACCAGAGGCCCGCCGCGCACCTCTGTGCCTTCAAAGATGTTGTACTCCACAGTCTGTGGGGAGAAGGAAAGCAGTAGTGTCAAAAGTAACATACAATATAAAACATCACTACTTTATTATAGCATATAATTCCAAACATAAGGACTGAAGGATCTGAGTGTATTTACATATTTGTACATTTTCCCGCATTGTTAACTGTATTGCACTGTACGTACGACATTTTAAAGATAAGCCTTTTTGTTGGTGCTTTTAGATTTGAAACAGGTTTTAAGTTCTTGTCTGACACCCGACAGCTGTGTTCCTGTGATGTTTTATGGCAGCTGCTTGTTCCTCCTAACGCCATGCCGACACTTTAAATCATAACAGAAATACCTTCAAAGCGGAGATGCAGTCATTCAACTTCCCCCCGCTTATTTTCCGCTATCATAAGGCTGACGTAACCTCCTGTTGCACATTCTGCATGCCATTTCAGTTCACAGACTTATGAAGCTCGCACTGAATGTTTATTTGAAAAGCTGCCAGAGTTATATTGTAGGACTCACTGTGTAAAATTTCTATAATTTCATAGGAGCTTAACTGATTTAACACACATAAAAGTGTTTCCTCGGGCCTACTAATGCAGAGTACAGAGGCATTAGTCTTCAGGCTGAGAGAAGAAGAAGGTGTTGTTTTAGTGCTTGTGTGTGGACATGGAGGGTGTGGAGGTTACCGTGTGACCAGTTTGAAAGCCCTACGACTCCTCTCCCAAAAAGCTTATTGAGCTAAAGCTGAGGTCATGGCAATCTGACAGAGCCTAAAATGAGATCACTGGTATATTGGGTTATCCTATGACACCCACACACATGCATGCATACACACTCCAAATGAGCAATTTCTCCCCTGAACACTGGTCCGTTATTTTCTGACCAAGCGGAACAAAAAGAAACCGAAGAACATGACGGGATTAAGAAGACAGATTCCATGAGCGTGTACAGCTCACTCTGTCTTCCATGCATACACACACGGATACAGATGCACAGTGACCGGCCTGCTAACAATCAGAAATGATGTGTTCCAGCTCTCTGGCAGATTTTAATGATGACATCACTCCCTCGACGCTGTGTGAGGCCCACACCCTCTGCAGCAGTCAGGCTGCCATAAAACAAGAGTCCTTTATCACAACAAAAGAGTTATCAACCACTTATTTTGGATGTCATCAGTTACATGCATAACAATTAGTGTCATTAGCATTAGAAGAATGAATAGTGTGTTTGAGGGCCTCAGTGTGACTGAAAGGTCATTAAACATTGATGGGCAGTGATGGGGCAATACGGATTGATAGCACCCCCTGAGAGACTTCGAAGTTGAATCCCCCACATTAGCTTTCAAATGCATATATTAACTTTGGTGGGCAAGTGCATCATGTCCACAACAAAGCCACACCCCCACATCCCAAAGTCATTCACTGTGGCATTTCTGCACAGCAGCAGTAGCTCGTTCACAAACTCCTCCATGCTAGTTAAGCAGAGCAGTCACATCTAAGGTTCTCTGTGGTGCAGATTCCTAACAAAACATGTTATTGCATTTCTGAAATTTAATAGAAGAGACCTGCCAATTAAAGAACACTAAACAGAAATCCGCAGAAGAATCCCAAAGACATAAAGACAGTAATTGTTCAGTGCCAGAAAGCCCCCCAAAATAGCGTTGCAACAGTTTCTACTTTGCGGTTGTAGAAAAAAAAATCTATTGGTTATCATAGTAAATATGTAAGCAAATGTTATATACGTGTTCCCCAACAGGTAATGCAGGAACTGGATTGGGAGTCAGGAATGGAGAGACACGCCTGGACCTAACTGCCAGACCTCCGGATGTCAGCCCCGCTATCCTCTGCAAGTGCAATTCGTCAGCCACACCCATTAACAGCAGCTCTCCTCTATGATCCATGTGCTTAGTAAAATGCACATGGCCAGGAAAAGAACTGACCCGTGGGATCTGTTCATTTTAAGACCGTGAGCAGTCTGTAAGAACCTCTTGAGTGATTCAGTAGTCACACACAAGCTTTTACATTTACTCTTTCAGAAAGAGTTCAAGTAGGAAGGTCCACATTTTAGAATGCAGGATATTTTGTTTTAGCAATTTAACAAGGGCAAATTAAAAGCTTAATCAAACAGTATTAATCACTTGATGAAATTACCTGAATTTTATCCTAATCTAAATAATCTATTCTCTGTGGATCCTGAACTCTGACACCAGTTTGAAATGAATGAGACAATGAGATTTTAATTTATACGTGTAGTTTTGAGGCTCTTGTGGTCATGGAAGTGGTCATTAAAGTTACTGCTCTCTCCTCATTCATAAGGAGTTACCAAAATGGCTAGTTTCAAGGCTAGCCTTTTACAAGTAGGAGTATATTTGCATTCCAATACTGAGTCTTTGTCATAGCGCCACCTACAGGAAACCAGAAGTTCCAGGGGTTGTATTTTCACGATCTTATCTTCATATTTTGAAGCCTGTGGGTTTTTATTTAACACTGCTGCTTTAAATTGCATCAGTGGTTTAATATGATAATATATACTTTTGTTACTGGACTCCAGTTTTTGTTAAAAAGTCCTGTTCTTAAAATATAAACATGCCCAAACCGATCCACAGTCACAACACAATAGACTTACAGGAAGTTCGCTGTCCTATATTTTTATAAACTACTCTTAGCTGATTAACCAGAACCACTCAAAATTTGGACAGCTCCATTTTTCAGACCTTCAAGCTTTTTGGTTTTCATCTAACGCTGTTGCTATGACGATGTATTGTTTGAAAGAAACAGGAAACAGTTCCTTAGCAGCTTGGAATGCCCGCAAACTTTTGGCACATGCAGCGTATATAATTAAAGTCAGTATATGGTAGGCTTTCATTAGCGAAGAAAAGAGACCTCTGTGTCAGTATTAATAGCTAGTTATGTAGAAATAATTGAGGACCATACCGACTGGTGGCTCTTGGCGGAGATGATCTTTGTGACGTCAGGGTCCCACAGCACCAGATCAGCATCTGAGCCCACAGCAATGCGGCCCTTGCGGGGGTACAGGTTGAAGATCTTGGCAGCGTTTGTGCTGGTCACGGCCACAAACTGGTTTTCATCCATCTTACCCGTTACCTGAAATAAGTCAGAGCTGAGAGTGAGAAAGCTACCAAAGCTTGTGACCTCTTTTGTGTTTTGTCCGTTTCACGTGTATTCACATACGGCCCTTTTTTGAATTAATCAAGATCAACCCTCCTAAATCCTCTTCTTGGACCAAGAAATTTAGCTTGTTTTTGTTCTGTTTTTTGTAGATCTGATAGAGGACAAAGCACTGTTTTTGGCCTTCAAAGTACATAGGAGTAGGTGGAATTTTTGGAGCTATGACCCTTGGAAGTTTATCCAAAGTGTACTTTTTAAATAGTTTAATGTCACCAGTTTAATGTCACAGGCATTAAACTGGTGTTTTCCTACTATTATTATGATATATTATACTACTATTATACCACTAATAGTAGTACTACTATCATAATACTACTATTATGATATAGTTCATGATATAGTTTGTGATTTTGGTGCTCAAATGTGGTTTGATAAAGCAGAAACACTGAAGAGAAACAAGGTTTAGCATTAGAGTGGGTGTGAAATCGATTTGTTGTATTTATGCAAACTGAAATGGCTGGGGTGTGACTTTGACCTTATCACAGCTTAGAATTACTGGGAAAAATAGCAATAATTAAAAAATTGGATTTTGTATTTTGGGGACCTGCAACATGGAAAATAATCCTGGAAGAAGTTATTGTACCAAAAAACAAAAAATAAAAAACAAGCTAATTGTTTTGACAGATTTTTAACAGAATGACAGTAAGGGGGGAATTTTTTTTTCATTTAGTACTGTTAGTTTTAATCTAATATGATACAAAATCTAGCATTTTTACTTGTAACAGAGTACATTTAAAGGATGGTATCAGATTACTTTTATAAAATCACCTCATTCCCCTTTAATTACATTTTTAGGGTTGGCACAACTCCTACAGCTCGGTGATGTATTCCCAATAAAGCCGTTCCCTTTTAGCTGGATGTAAATTGGAGTAAAGCTTTACTTCACTCCATATGTCAATTTGGTTTTTAAGCAGTTGCATGCTTATTGTCAACAGCATGCCTAGAGACGCCGAGAGACCTATAATACACCGGCAGTGAGTTTCTGTTTACAATGCACAGGTTAAACAGACCGCAGTGTGGACTTGAAGTGAACCGAACACTTCTCAAATGAGTCCCAGTTCAGTTTGCCTAAAAGAGGTCTGACATCATTTACAGTGTTAACATAAACGTGAAAAGAGCTGACTAACTGCTCTGAGCTGCTTTGAGGGAAGAATGGAGCCAAGAGTGAAAACGCCTTTAGTGTATTGTGAGACACAGTCCTGTGAAAGAATAAGTCCACCCTTACCGCTTCCATGGGAATTAAGGGGGTAAGTAGCAGCCAGGTGCTGTTAATCAAATGTGCCTGATTAACTGAGCATTAGAAAGTGTGAGCACCTCTATAAAAGCAGAAGTTTTGGCAGTTTGCTGGTCTGGAGCTTTCAGGTGAGTGTTAACACAATGCCACCATCGTCATAAAGAAATTTCTGCAAACCTCAATGAACTGAAGCAAACTTGGCCTAAAGACTTCTATAATGATGTGAGAGACTGAAGTCATACAGAAAATGATTACCTCAAGTTATTGCTGCTAAAGGTGGTTCTACAAGCTACTGAATCATGGGGAGTTTTCACAGGACTGCACAGGGTCTTGTGAACCCCACCCAAAAGCAAAATTTACTCACCACACACTTGTCCCAAATGATAGACATCCTCTCCTCAGTGCCATTCACACCCTCAGGAATCAAGCTGAAGTCATCTTTGCCCACAGCACGCTGGGCAGTGTTAAAGGGACAATGTGCACTTCCTGTCACCTGAAGGTCTCCACTATGTAATAAGTTTAGTACAAAAAAGACAGACAGGACTGTGTCATGCTCAGAGAAAAAGCACTGCTGACATTTTCTTTTTAACTTTGCCTATAACGTGTTTGCATCCAATTACCAGGAGAGCAGGGAGTTGAGATAGTCTGGTGTGGTCGGGTCAGGGCTCAGTGGAGGAGAGGTGACGTAAGCAGCCGCTTTGGCCCAATTCTTGCTCCAATAGTGTGAACCGTCTGTTCCCAGACTTGCAGTGATTGGCTCTCCATAGACAACAGTGCCTATAAAGACAAGTCCCATCATAGCATGAGATCCTATGTTCCTCACGTGCATGTCATGCGAACTCACGCAAAAGCTTCATTGCATCTATTTGTACTTATCTGTGTTTATTTTACCGTTTTCTGTGAAGTCTACTCTATAATTAATCTTAATCATAACATAAAATTGGGCTTAAATTTAATTTAGTAGTTTCATATTATTGTGAAAATCCACTAATATTGTCTTTTTCCTCTCTGACAATGGGCAGTATCTTTATCTTAGTTCTTACCCTTCTTCCTGGCCTGAGCGATGACATCAGAAGCGCTCTTGCTCATCACCTTGGTGACATACAGCGGGCAGTTGGTCTGGTTGGCTACAGTCACAGAGCGGTTAACGGCCTCCGCCTCCACCTGGAATACAGAAGAGTTCACTTTAATAGATGGAGGTGATGACCTTTCTTATTCCTCTCTTCTTCATTTCAGTCTTCGTCATTTTAATGTGTGCACAACAGTATGTCAAAGCCCTGGTGTTTTAGATATCACATGTATTTATAAAGGTAAATAACTTATATATAGTATATAAAATTAATAAATGAGGTGAATCAATTTAAGCTAAATATTAAAGAAATATCTAAGTATTCAGCAGCGAGCTGTAGCTTCATATTTAACTCATATTCTCCTTGCATAGCAACGCAGGTACAACAAGGTTAAACACTGAAGGGAGACGTTTTCTGACAGATTAAATGACAGAGAAAATGTTCCGAGGTGAAAAGCAATATGGAATTGAACATTTTCTAGGTCAATTTATTGCAACATTTCAAGGTATTTTTCATTATTTTTATGTCTCTTTTTCCATGTATGACCATGGAAAATGGTCAAGATTTGATTAACCTGAGCAGGAGCAGCACTGCCATGACAATTTAACTTGTGCTTTTTCCCCTAAGGCCCCTAAGAAATCACTGCCTTCATCAGATGATAATTAGAAAAATACAGAAAACCTTAAGAAGAAAAACTGAGGAACTGATTTTAAAATAACATTGATTTATGCAGGGAGGATGTGCTCAATTAAAGTGGCTTTAGGGCGTGATTATCTACATTCATCATGGGAAAAGGAGAAAGTTACGAAGATTATAAAGAAGTGAAAAATCCAGAGCCTCAAGGTAAAACTTTCAACGATTCAGACGCAGCAGCGCTGAAGCCCGTAAAGGTCACATCCCCTACTGCGAAAAAAACCCCAACAACTTGGAGATGAACCGATACGCTTTCCTCAAAGTCCAAGCAACATTTCACAGAGTTGTAGCTGTGACTCACCTCCTCAGGGCGGCTCAGCACGTGTCCTTCAGGCCCAGTGATCCCCTGCTCCAGCATCCTGCGCTGCTCCTAAACACACGCACATGAGCACACACAAAGCGCATTGGGAAATACGAGATGTTGAGTCATGTGCAGGTGGACGAATGTTTGTCATGACTGGCTTTGGCAGTGAAAACTAAGCAGCTCTGAGAATATCTATCCTCATCTGTTGGCTATTAACAGCTTAGCACTGAACATTTCGTCACAACTGAGAAGAAACTGATGTGTCACAGTCTTTGAGCTCAAAGTCCAGCTTTCAAGCGGTATCTCATAACCCTCAAAGCTTAGGGCGTTAAGATTCCATTTAATGCAAAAATCCTGCAGAAAAATCATGTCTGTTCATCTCCAGATGGCATCTTGTTATGGTATGAAGAGTCATACCTCAGCTACGATGTCACCATTCTCAGCGTGAACCTGGGCGATGGCTCCCAGATCGCGGATCACACTGAAAACCTCATACACCTGCAGCAAAGACAAAGACAGTAAAATTTTGAACTCCAGCACAGACCTAAAGTCTAGTTGTATCAATTGTTTTAGATGAAGAGGAACTCACAGCATGGGGTTTTTTTTTGCTTTTTTGATTTCCAGCAGTGATATATTGGAAAAATCTTTTCTTTTTAAGTCAGTGGGTCATTCAGACAATGTCTTTGTCTGAATGAATGTGACTAATTGGAAAAAGGGCTAACATTTGGTCTACCCTAGTATTTATTTGGTTTAAAAGATGGATTTAAAGTCTATAATTGAATAATTTTAGCAAACATAAGCTCTTTTTTCCACTATCAGTTGTGGGTAACTGATTGTGTAGTAATCTTTATTAGCGAGTCTCCCACAGTCCGAAGTTTAGGAAACACAGCGAGTTCACAGACAGAAGAAAAACTGTGGTGATGAACGAGTCATCATCCCCCCAACCAGGACTGCTAAACATGCAACAATGAAAAGCCGTCAGAGTTTGACACGGAAGAGAAAATGATAAACTCTGGCTGCACCCAACTGCCAGCATTCCTCACACAGGTGCAAAGATCATCACAGATCTGTTTCAAAACTGCTTTCAGGTGGGATTAATTCATTTTCAGTCAGAAAGAGAGTTTGTGGCTTTCATTATCCTGTCGCTCTCCCAAGAGAAACACACAGGAAAATCAGCACGAGGGGAAGCCTAGCCAAGACAAACAGACTCGCACAGTAAGTCACGCTGTAGAGTGAGCGCGTGAGCCAAAATCAAGAGTAGGATATGACTTTTATGATAGTATTAGGTCAGATTTACTGTAGGCTTTCAATCTCTTTCTCTTCCTCTTTAGGTCAATACTTAATGCCTGTTTGTTGCCCTGGCGATCGGACAACAGTATATCTAATATCACCGCTGTAAGTATAAACAGCCTTTAAGCTAAAAGAGTTTGTACAGAAGGGCTGTAGCATAATTCAATTTATTGTAGCACAATACAGAATATGCTGAAAAATTCAGTGACAACCTACCTGAGCATCAGTAAGCTGGAAAATATCCTTATAAGCCAGGTAGACCAGGAAAGAGTTAACACCTGAAAGGTTTAAAGCAGAAAAAAATACTAATCATTAACCAACTTAAATACGAAGTTCCTTGGTAGATGATGAACCCTAAGTTTGGATCATTTGAATGCAAGAAAACTATTGTGTAAAATAAGACCCTTTATTGTGGGTTTTTGCGTGTGTCTTGCTAAAAAGTGAGTAGAACATCTCTTTCTGATGCTTTCATTCTAAAAAGTTGCATTAAATGCATCACGTGCAGGCTGCTGCACTCAGGTTACAGGACTGATACTGACTGATGTTAATCTTTTTGCATCGAACAGATCTAAATATTAATTTTTCCAATCACGTTCCCAACGCGCAAATCTTTAATTCAAGATAATCAAACATGACTGTGGTTACGTGAGACGTACCGTGATCCTTCACGAGCGTCTCCATCTCTTCCTGGATTCCCTTGTGCCACTCGGTAATGTCGATATGCAGAGAGTAATCGCAGCAGGACTTGCTGTCGGCCCATTCACGCCACTGCTCGAAGGCTGACATAAGGCTGGTGCCAGGCTCAGGTAGCACATGGTCAACTAGACGCACACGCACACACACACACACACACACACACACACACGGTTAAACAGCTACACAAATACAGGAACTCTGCTGTCTTGTATTTTATCTGTCTTTTATGTTATGTTGTATCCAGGCCTAATGGACAATGATGTATTTCACGCCTGGCTGTATGAACATGTGGAACAAACTGATTTTTAAAAATGATCATATTTACACACCAGAGTCAGACCTGAAATTGTATGACACGTGTCTGATTAGAAACCTTTCATATCTAGAGCAAGATGCAAACTCCAGGGCTAAACAGTGAATGCAGAAACTGCAGTTCCTGAAGTGGCCACTTTAGGCTTTCCCCAAAACACATTCTTAATAGAGTTCAATGATAAAATGCCCAACTTTACATTTGCTATTTTTCCTCTTTGATACATATGTATGTAGACTGAATGTCTTTGTAAGGTCCTGTGTTCTTCCTCTCATCCCCAAATGGTCACAGCAGATGGCTGACCCTCCTTGAGCCTAGTCCTGCCGCAGGTTTCTTCCTGTTATAAGGGAGTTTTTCCTTCCCACTGTCGCCAAGTGTTTACTGATGGGGGTTGTTTGATTGTTGGGATTTTCTCTGTATTATTATAGTCTTTACCATATAATATAAGGCCCCTTGAGGAAACTGTTTTTCTGATTTGGCACGATATAAATAAAAGTGAATTAATAGAATTTTTTAAACTCGTGTTTAAATTTAACAACGCTCACAAGGTCAATATAAGAAGTCTATGTTTGAGTTTTGGTGAGTGAAATTCTAATACTATTATATTTACGATTTAGCAGGTATCTATTGTGTGAAAGCCCTGCTAACTAATATCATCACAAATCCCTCCAAAACATTGTCCCTACTGGCTCCAAGAAAAACCCAACAACCTAACATGACTATTACCAGTGAGTGAGTGGTGTCAAGGTGGCTAAAATGTACCTTTTATATGTAGTCTGTAGTTAAGATTGGATTCAGATGCCTTTAATTAAGCCTAAACTACATTGAATAGAGCATTTCATTATAGAAATCATCTCTATTTGGCAAGTGTCACCAGGCTGCAGGATGTTACACACCAATTCCAGACCTGACTAAGCCCCTAAGAGGAGCTACAGCAATCGGCTTTTAGCTTGGGGTAAAAAAGGCATGCAGTGTGAGTATGTTTTGCTGCCAAGAGGAGGATGGTGTTCCTGTTGAGTCAGCAGAGGGAGGGCCAGTGTGACATTTACAGTTCAAGTTTTCATTTAGCTTTGTTTTCTTTGCTCATTACGTCAACTCTTTAAATTTGTATGTAAATTTAAAAATAACATTACCATTAAACCAATGTAAGAACCAAGATTTGCTGTTACATTATATTTACGATATTTTGTTAGAAAAAAAAATCACTGATAAAACACAGGGTAAGAGTTTGGGGTTATTTTTTTTAAATCTGGGTACAACTTGAAACTGACTCCAATGCCCTGTTTAAAAACTATGTCTAGGACAAACCAAGCCATAACAAAACTACAGATAGATGGTAACTCAAAGGAAGTAGAAAGAAATTCCTGCGGACAAGTTTTCAACTAATGCTTAAACTCTTAACTTGAGCTTAACGACTTTGAAGTGCAAGGGAAACGAGCCCAAGGAGAAGAAAATCTGGGCTTTGCAAGCACCATTAAGAAATTCAGAATACTACAACTACAACAGGCCAAAATTACATAAACAGGGTGTATAAAATAATAGCAAACAAACTACAGAGTCTGTCTGTCTCTTTGGAAACTTCCTGACACAGTATGTACAGCAATCAGCACCTCATGGCTCAGAGTGCTCCGACCAGATGGATGGGTTCATATTTTGGCTTGCTCATAAGCAGGCCTGGCACGCTTCCTGTTCTCATTAAGACTTGTTCAATTAGGGCCAATCAGTAAATGAAGAATCACTGCGGGGAAAAACCCACCACACACACACTCAGCTTCCTTTCACTCACACAAAGCTTTCAGACACCAACTTTAACCCATTTCTGAATCTTCTGTTGCAGACAGCAGGGGCTTTGTGCTCAGCAACTCACTGATCATGGTGGTGCCTCCGGCCAGCGCCGCCTTGGAGCCCTGGTAGAAGTCATCAGCGGCGGTCATGCCCCGATCGGGCATCTGGAAACGAGTGTGCACATCGATGCCACCGGGCATCAGCATCCGACCATGGGCATCGATGGTTTTTACCCCACCGGGCACAATGAGGTTTTCCCCGATTTGTCTGAGTTAAAGAGAAAAGCAACATTTAAACTGCTGATTACACCACCCTTAGTAATTTTAGAAAGTAGAATTACAAATGAATTAGTCATTTTAATTTCATTAATTACATTTACTATTTTTTAGTAATTAGTGGTTTCATATGCTTATGGGTTAGGGTAGTAGTTTTTGAGTATGTATCAATGCTCATCATTTTCTTTGTGGCAGTTTCCATTACGCTCTGCAAAAAAGTAATTAACTTCTTACTCACAACTTTTCCTGTTTTGTATAGCAAACACAGTCAAAACTAAAAACTGACTGCATTGTCAGCTTTCTCCAGGGCCGTCTGATAAAAGCCAGACTTGAGAAAAAATATCTGTCCTGCATTGCTAGAGCTCATCATCATAAATAAATCATCCTACTCAGTCACTTTTGGCACTAAAACAGCTCGGTTTCATGACGATTAACCTAACGAATTTACAGAAAAGTTATAATGACAAGCTAAAAAAGTGATCAGAATTGTAGTATGGCAGTGCTGGTTTCATTTATTGGTAACTTTGACATTAAACACTGAAGATTTTATATGGCAATAATGACAAGTTTACTTTTCACTCTGCAAGAAGAATGTATTATTTGTGGTGCTATTTAGAGGTAATTGTATATCATAGTGAGATTATGGTGAGATGAGTAGTAAACTCTACTTGCTGCAGAGGAGGCCCTTAGTTAGTTTGTAGTGATTCAGCCGAGAGCTTCAAACATGGACATGGTAAAAGTTGGGTTTTTAATAAACTGCCGGCAGCTTAAAGGAAAACTCACTTGATGACTCCATCCTCCATATAGATGTCGGCACAGAAGGACTGGTCATCATTCACAATCTTGGCCCCTTTGATCAGGAGACGGTCGCTCTGGAAAACAATAAAGAAGGTGAATTGCTGCATATTTTTGTTTAAAAAAACAGCTTGAGTTAATCTGTAGGAATAACAACCCTGTAAAAGACATGGATTTATAGCCGCCTATAAAAATACGCTTACAAGGGTGAGTATCCGATTTGGCTCAACTGGATGCTGGATTAAGGGCATTTGATGAAAGACGTTTTGGGAAATGTCACTTCAAGGAGTGGATTGGCAACAATCACAGCAAAACATAAATACTGGCTCTGCTTGGCCTTTTTAGGCTGCCGTCTGATAAGGAACACATGGCTGTGCATTGTCTCTCAGCTGACACTGGCTTTCCTATTCTGCAAACACACACACATACAGATATCTGTAAACACACTGTACACACTCTTTATACTCTAACACACTGATCCGGTGGGGGTGGCCGATTGGAGGGGCAGGGGGTAAAAGAGTATTAAGAGCTGGGATGTTTGGACCAGCACCAGGTTTTTTTTGTGTGTGGATGTTTTCACTGTGACACTGTTTATGTCAGCCTGGCGGTGGAAAGACATTGTGAAAAGAAGATGAATACGGACAAAGAAAAGGCGTTAATCTAAGGAGGGGACTGGATTCAAACAGTCTGACTGCTTTAAAATGGGATTAGTGAACATCTGCAGTACACAAAGCATTATCTCCAAATTAAGAAGAACAACAAACTTCTAGATCCCTGTGCTGAGAGCAAAGAGAGGGCCCAGTGCATTTTCATCACCGCTCCTCTCACTGGTGGATCACTTGATCTTTGCTTTAAAAGCAAAATTAGGGAAATCATTCACTGCTCGGACAATAAAGACAGCAGCCCGCCTCCAGACACACCCATCTGCCCCCTTCATGTGGTCGAATTATCGCACAAACAGACGTGAGAGAGAACCAATCAGGCCACTGAGCGTGTAATCAATCATCCATGCCTGCTGCCGTGCCACTTGTCTCTATGCTGGAGAGAGGACGGGGAGGAGGGGGGAGTCTACCACCTCCACAGTCCCTCCTTCGAGCCACCCCGGGGAGGCCCTGGCCCTCTCTCCAAGAAAGGGAGTGGCAGCTATGTCACAAGGGCTCCAGCGTTCCCCCTTCTAACAAAGGCTGCTCTGTTTGAGGCGCTGCCACTGGCTGCTGCCAGGCCAGCAGCTTCAGCCCAGAGGACAACTGCTGTGCTGCAGGCAGCACAAACCATAAGCCAGCTCTGTAAAATATTACCTAATAGGTTGTTTATATAACACAGCCACATATGTAGAAATAACGCAAACTTATTTAGCTCACTTAAAAAAATAAATAAATAAACTGAATATCTTTTAGCTTAGTATGTAAACAGACTAAGTTGGTCTATTTGGTGGTTTTAATGACCAACAGTCAATATTTACTACAGGAAAGTCTTGAAAATATAAACAGATTAATGGTTTAAAAAAATGATGGATGTTGCAAAGAAACGCTCCATAAATATGCACTTCTTTTGCATAACTTTAGTGCTGTTGCAGGGGGAAAATTTTGACTGGGACCAACAATGCCATTCATAACCAGACCCCAGCGTGAAGGACCTCAGCTGTTTTTTACTAGCAGAGGTAAATGCAGCCTCAAGATGGCTGCCCAATAATTTCAGTTTCATAGTCTTCAGCTTTGACGGCCACTGACTCAAGTGATGTCCATCAGATCCCTCAGGAGCCACAAAAGCTTTAAACCCTTTTCCATGTACAGTAGTACCCCTGAATAGGAAAAAACAAAGTCCTCACACAATGATCTCAGATATATATACCTATCCAAATTTCCTTATGACTGCTTTTGAAGCATTTTTTTTCCTCACATGTGTACTAACGTTTCACATATTAGCAATACCCCGCATTCTTCTGGATGAAATATAGAATGGAGTAAAGTACACAGTAAAACAACTTCAGCTGACTGCAGCAGCTTCTGGAAAATGCCTTGCAGTTGTCATCTGAAAGGTGTGGCCACACTCTGACAGCAGTGATGGAACTAATGCAGATAGATCATGTGGTAATCTTCGATCTGTGTGGAACAGAGTGCTCTGGTTGAGCGACTGGCTTCGCTCCAGCCCGCTGCTGGCCCGTTTTCCTCCCAACAACTGCTTTGAAATATGCCGTTACATCATGCGCCCCGTCATGACTGTCATTATCACATTACTCACTGAACTTTGCCAAGACACTGCAGCCCTTCTCACAAAATTGCACCTATTGCGCTGTTTCATATAGAGCTGTATTTGCAGAACAATTAGTGTCCCTGAATCCAGAACCGTGCTTTAAAATAATTCAATTGTTTTAAAGCTCGCAGGGGTCGTGTGACAGAGCGTGTGATTGTACTGGATCTGTGCCAAGCATGACAGTGACCTTTCCTTCGTGGGAACTTTTTCAGAGCTCACAAACAGGATGTGGATAAAGCTCAATGGGCCCACTGTTACTAAACTACTGTGTTTACATTCCAGGCTACAACCTACAACCTTACTGAGATTGCATACAAGGCAAAAACAGTTCAATGAGCATTAAAAAAAACCTGATCTGTAACGTAATTAGCACACTTAGAAAAACAATCACTGAATATTTTGTTTAACACAGTAACTTTCCTCAACCTCCTTCACCTCTGTTTCCTCAAACAAAACATCCTGGACTAGTGTAATACTTTCGGCATAGTGGGCGGAGCATGGAGACAGAGCATAAATAAGTCCCACCCACACCAAAGGGGCAAACAGTTCATGGCTCCTTTTCTATCTGCTGATAGATGCCAAAAAACTGCAGTGCAGTGGGACGCAGTATCAACAGAGCCTAAAACTGAGCCCTCCAGAAAACAGGAGTGGACACGTGACTCAAACTGTGGGATAATGAAGCTCAGAAGCCTGCTGTGTTGTCTGTCTTTTGTTAATGATAAGTGTCAGTTTTAGACAAATTTATTTCCTTAAGTATTATGAGATTGTCTGCAAATTTAATTACTGTGAAGTGTGGATAATTTAGATATCTATGACTAATGTTTTGTTTGTGTTTATTTGTTTTGCCTTAGCTATAAGAGCTTGTGACTGGAAGGGGCAACGTCCAGAGCTGAAACAACAACTCCAGTTCGTTTCTGTGCCTCCTGAGGCTCGAGTCAATCCCCACAGACTTCTATATTAGAGAACTGAAGTGCACATTTACAGCTGGGTACAAAATATAGTTTTGTCCTCTATGGATTCCTTCCTCCTTCATAACAACTCTGAGTGGCAGGAATTTCTTTGTAAATCATCTATCTGGGTGTGTGTTTGCATTTGATGCCTTTGTAATGTAATACCTGAATAATATTAACCCTCACTATTATGTACTGATGATACCAGAAGTTCTTGGGGGGGTTGTACTTATCTTCTTGAGTGAAAGTCTAGTTAGGGCTAATTAGCCAATGTACCCTCAGTGTACTTTGCTACGAGCTCTGGGTAGTGACTGAGCAAAAGAATGAGATCGCACATACAAATAACCTCCCTTAGAGATACAGTGAGGAGTTTGGTCATTCACAAGAGACAAAGAGTAGCGCAGCCACTCCTCCACACTAATATGAGCCAGCTGAAGGGGAGGAGGTTGCTGGGGGAGAGGGAGGTCTGGGTTTCTCTAATTAGACTGCTGCCCCCACAACCTGGACTTAGATAAGTGGTAGAAGCTGGATGGATTCTATCTGAAAGCCATTAGAAAAGACTTCCAGTTCTATAGAAGTATACGAGAGAAAAAAAGGTATTTTGGGTCATATTAAATCTGTTATGTAAGTATTGGTCATATCATGCATCAACATTGATATGGTATAAAGCGGCACGCTTGTTGACAATCATAAATCATTAACCAGTAAGGTTGCAATAGATGACATCGCAGCAGCTACTTTCATCTTTTACACTTTTGATGACTCCAATCTTTGATCCATAAGGTAACTTCCAGTTCCAAAAAACCCAACATGGTGATGGACAAAACACTGATGTTGAAGCTTAACAGTGTCGAAAACCAACAATTGATGACTATGTCCATTTTTTTTAATATCCATGCTGTTAACACATTGCTGGCATTAGATTTTAAATAGCTCTAACATAGAAATATCTCATATTTTTAATCCATCTGCAGGCATGTTGTTAGCACTTTAACCCCGAGATGTATATTGTGGATCAGTTTTTCCATCCAGTAGGGATCACTTTAGAATATCTCATACACTCTGTTTCTAAATATCATTAAAGTATATCAGCTGGATTCACATTGGATTAAATAAAACTGAATTTTACATGGAAAGAGATCAAGAAACAAGTCCCAGCAAGGCTGGTAAACTCTGCATATCATGGTTAGCCATCAGCAAAATAACAAAGTATAAAACAGACAGGTTAGTAAAAATCTGTCTTGTTCTCTGTCACACTATCAGCACAGCAGGAAAGCCTGTGTCTAAAGATAAATTTTTTCAGAAATGTTGTTTCTGTCGTTATGTTTAGCTGCTAAATGTATGCTTTACTCACCAGATGATCACTAGATGGGCCTTTTTCTCATTTAGTTAGAGGGGTAGAGGACTCTGCAGTGCTTTGGGGCGTAAAAACAATGAATTAAAAGCTCTACGAAGCTAAGGAGAAGTGTAGATTTACATAATACTTCTCATGAGGTTATGAGAGATCCTTATAATTTTTACAGGTATTATTAATAACGTAAAACATTGTGCTTAAGAAAAAGAAACAGACTGGGTATAATGGAAAGCAGAGGTAATGGTTTTGTTAAATCACCAACATCAATCAAATGCTGCGATTATTAAAATCCTGACATTAATAAACCACAGCACCATACGGAGGAAAACTAAGACCCTCCACAGGAAGAGAAGAGAAGCCTGGGTACTCAAACTGCTGACTTTCATAAAATCAGGGCAAAATCAGCTTGGGTGCAGTGAAAACGTCTGCCAGTGTTAGACGTAACCCGGCAACATTGTATGTTGTTGTCCAAATGGAAGATATCCTGGAAACAGTTAAGTCAGGTGGAGAAGGCTGCCAG